ATTATTCTTGTTCCACTAGCCTACAGAAAAAACGGCTATGAATATTTTACTCAAACCTGGGCACACCTACTAAAACAAATTCTTGCGCAAATCATAGGGCTAATTTTATGTTGATTCTTGAAATAGAAGGGAAGATTTGATCAGTTTTTTAATTGCTATTGGCCAAGTTTTTCTTCAAAGCCACTCAAGCACCGAAGCTTACACCAAAATCGAATATGTAAACTGCGCCAAAATCTATGCACAACTACTAAAAAATTCCTACGAAGGTTCTAGGGCTATTTTCAAATTGATTCTTGAAAGTCGAGATTTCCACCCTCTAAATTTTTCTAAGTTCTTCTTCGCTACCAACATAAGCTCAAACATCGCAGAAATGTGGAAGCCATTTAAGCACCATTATATTTGTCGGAAACGCTTCATTTTATTAGAGTAAACAATATGTATATTTATAACAGTGTCTCCAGCCTTATTAGTACTGATTATAGTTTTAACAGCGCTACAGAAGAAACGGCTACGAACATTTTACTGAAAATAAGCAATAGTAATGAAAACAATATTGAGTATGTCATAAGGTAGTTTTAGTATGTCATAAGGTAGTTTTAAAAATTAATTTATGCGCCTTCGTTTTTCGCCCTGAAGAATTTCTCTAAGTCCTTCACTTTCCGCCATTGAAAAAATCCGGTGTTTTATTAATGTGCATTAATTGAAAAACAACTTGTGAAACTTATAGCGTATTAATTGGAAACTGCCACATTGAGGATTCATCATTTATCGAGATCGCAGTTCTTCGTTGTTTCTCGAGTTCGCTGTTGTACTTTGTTTCTATACGGTTTGCTGCGGCTATTTTAGTGAGTTTTCTTTCTAACAGAAGATAATTACCATGGTAGATTTCTCTACTCTTGTGATTGATGAGTCATTCTGCTGATTTTCGTACTTCACTGAAATTGTGAGTGCATATTTTAGTAATATTTAATTATTATTATTGATATTTTTATTTCACAAGCCTACAGTAAAACTGGCTCAGTATTTTGCACCAAAAGCTAGACAAATATACTAAATGAAAAAATGCAGATGTCCATCACTCATACATGATTATTATTCACTGAAAGTTGATTTACATGGCTATAAATACATAATATATGCAATGTCCTTGTGAGTGACTTCCTTTGTACTTGACACTTGCTAAATGCTTGTTTATATGAAACCTCAGACACAAAACCACCTGGCTCAATGCAGCAGTAAACTGTTGAAAAACATGTAACATTCAACTGAATGCATATGCACGTATGTAGCTTAAAATTTATTCTCCATAATTGGACATAAAAAACTTAAGAAACAAGATAATTAAAAATTGTTAATTTAAAAAGGAGAATAGGGATCATCATAAAAGTACAGAGATAAGTTGAATCAACAAAAGTGAATAAACTAGTCTGGAAATAGTGTCTACATTATTTTCTCAAGCTACAAATCCCTATTTTGACTCAATTAAAATTGATACATACTGTAGACATGGAGACACAAAATAGGGATTTGTAGCTTGAGAAGATAATAGGTACTATTTTCAGCCTAGTTTATTTACTTTTTTTTATTCAACTTGTTTCTGTAAATTTTTGATGATCCCTATTCCCCTTTTCAAATAAATAATTTTTAAGTATCGTATCAAGTATTTTACCCATAGATTGTTTCATATAATTATGGCTACTGGACTGACATTTTTATAGTAAGCCATTACTACTGTATATATTAAACATACAAAATGTATAATTTATATATTTCTCCATATGTTTCTTTTTTAAATTTTCAAAGATCTTTTTCACATTTTTTATCCAGATTCAGACAGCTTCTAAGCATAGGATTCAACAACACAGAGTGCACAAAGGACAGAGGTGTGTCCTATAATGACAATCAAATGCGTGTTTCTTTCTCTATGCAGAGAAAATGAAGGAAAAATGGTGTCTTCCAGAATCCACCATCAAATAAAGCAAAACATTAACATTTGTGTAATTTTGTTGTGTATTTAGATGCTCTGTATCAATGATTAAGCTTCTATTTGATGTTTTTAGTTGCTGTTTTGTCGACCCTAAAGTTCCTCCTTTAACATCAGGTTCTTGCAGCAGTGTTATGCAATATCACTAAATTTTATTTTGTTATTTATATTTGGCAGTTATACCGAATTCTATACAAATAAATATATATATATATATATATATATGATTGTTGTAACCTTCATACATTCACTACAACCTTCATCATAAAACACGATGCACACTTTTACAGAACACCTGATTAGAAATCATTTTTTGAAATATATAAAGAAAAATAAATATATATATAAAGACACCTCACATGATTATTTTGTTAATTTATTTATTTAAAATTTCATTTGTTAAACAGCAAAAAAAACCCCCCTGGAAATACCACAGTTTTGTTATACATTCTTATACACTCTTTATTCTAAGGAAAATTTCCACTGTTTTTTTAAGTCTCCACAGTACTCTTTTAAGCAGTGATGCATTTGTACATCTTTTGAGAGATAAAAGTAAAATAAACCAGCTACTGTTGCTGCAATAAAAAATTTGTCACTAATATCTAATTCTGATACATAAACTTCAAAGGCTTAGCCTGAATTACTGTAAATACAAGTAATGACATGAATACTGTTTATGTCAGAAATGATAAAAATTTACTATTCATATACTTAATGTGATATTTGGTTTTTATTCACTTGTTTCATTAAATACAGACTACTTTCTTCAAACTAATATCTTTCAACTAATACTGCTAAAGTTATAAAGCTGAATTGTAGTAAACTTGAGCTGTTTTTCAGGTTGAACAGGTGCATTTAATAAGATTACATTATTTACAAAAAAGTGATTGAATGCAAATGGACCAGTGAGATTCTGCTCGTTAATCTTTCCGATTTCACAAAATATCTGAACACGCCTAGATCCTGATATTAAAAAAAAAACAACACAGAAACATTTCTATATTTTAATAACACTCTGAGAGTTAACTTTTGAAATACACAAAAAAGTATGTAGTGGAGGTACAGAAAAGGCTTCTCATAATGTACACAAAAGTTACTTTAGTTTTATTGCTGAAAGAGAGAGAGAGAGACTGTAGAGAAAATTTACATGTCATTCAAGCTGATTCATGCGAACAACTTGATTTCAAAAACAACAAAAAATATTATAACATTTATTGAGGCTAAATATTTTGTTGCATATTCATAGTGCCTCACTTAGGATTTGTAAAACTTTAACTTTCCATAACACTTGACATATGACAATTTAGATTCAGGTTGTGAAGTCCACTAGCTATTGGATAATACAGTGATTTCCTGGACAATGAATGAGAAATATGATGTATCACGTACTCTACCTTCTTTACAAGTAATTCCATGACATGTAATGTAACGAAACCAACAACTACACAGTCTGGTTACGTAAAAAATTTTTTAAATACATATCAGTTTAGCAATATATTCATATAATCAGAAGAACATATACATACAAGTTATTAATGTTTTTGAAATGATTCTGTGTGAAAAAGAAATTCTGCAACCAAACAAGGGGCTTAAAAACAGCAGAAACACTCATTCTTTAGTGCATCAATTAATGTTTGAGTGTTTGCCTGCATGATTCTCAATGTCATATAATGAAAGTAAATTTAAATGATGTACATACAAAACTAACTACACATTACACATTGATTTAACATTAAGTTATATATACATGCACATGTGTGTGTGTGTGTGTGTGTATTTATCCTACTGACTTATGACATTTTAAATTATTATACCATACCACAGTTAACTGTTTAACCCTATGTGCACAGGTGGGATCAAAGTGCATACCATGAATTTTTACACAGTTACATTCAAAACTTAAACAACTTTAGTATGAATGTACGTTAACAAACTTGACATCAAAATATAGTCTATAATTCAAATTTTAATATATTAATATCAAAGAGAAATATTTAAATAAACTCTCAATTTTTACTTTTCCATATCATGTGACATTTATTCACTTTGAATTGCCCTGTTTAGATTGTCTTTCTACTCCTATATGGTCTCCTGAATTTAGCATAAATGATAACTTATAATATATACATATTGGTGAGACACAAGTTCAGAGCCTTTATCTTCTCGCTTTATTGAGATATAAACCAGAAATTCACATTCTCCTATCATATCCTGTCTTTCAAAAAAATGTTAATAATTCTCTCAGACATTGAATTACTTATAATCAATAGTAAAAAGGTTTTAATTTACTGATATCTATATAAGGCTAGCTTTTTCTGATGATAGTTTCTGATTTATTCAACCTACACATTCACTGATGCTATCACCGAGATCACTTTGACCAGGTAAGGGAAGTTTAATCCAATTATAGATTTGTAAGAAAACTGGTAAATTGTAACAGTTTTAGGTCATTATATTTTCTTACATGTTAATATTGTGTATTCTAAATTGCATATCTGAATTTAGAAAAATTATTTTACATGTTACAAATAATCCTACCAAAATCAGGGTTAAGTTTCAATGAGATTCAATGATCTAGTACAAAATCCCACACTTAAGTACCAAATTTCTTGTGTTTATGTGTATTTTATATACATGAATGAAAAAAATTAAATAAAAAGAAACGTCTCTGAGAGGTATGCATGTGAGATGCTCTTGTGTTATGTAATTTGATACTTTGTTTACCATAACTCAAGCTGTGCTATCATCAATAATTTATTGCTTTGTTATTCTAGTTTACTAGTTACTGATGATTCAAAAGTAATTAAACAGTAAAATTAAATGAAAGCATTTTTGAAAATGTCAGAAGCTTAAAGCTGTTAGGATACAAATTGTAACTATCTGTAACAATCCACAGTCATTCTGGGAAAAAAAAAATTTGATGCAAATGATTTCACTACAGTTTGTGTTAGGGTAGAGAAAATAAGATGTAGATGTATAAAGTTTTACAGAAAAAAACTTACCATATTCATTTAGGAGGTTCTAGAGGTTATGTAAATGAAATATGAAAACTGTACGATGGAAAAAGTATTTTTCTTCTTAACATGAAAATCACCTTGCACTCAAGCTATTCAGAGTCTGAGTTCAGACTAACATCTTAAATTCACAGACAAAGCTTTAGTAAAAATACTTTATTAAAAAATCTTATTTTTTGTGTACAACAGACCTAATAGCTAATAGTAATAGCTTGCCAGGTTTTGTGAAGATATACTTAGTAAATTTGGAATTACAATAAACATTAATTCTACAACACGGGGTCAATCAATGGACTGACCCCATGCTCACAGGACTAACAGACAAGCTATTTGCAACAGGTTGATAAATGTTTTGCTCCAAGGGTTTTTATTTCATAATTTCATATGTAGACAGTAATACAAACACCTATAAATAATTATATTGAAAAAAAAACATCAAATGACGAAAAAATCTAGCTTGAATGATGTATTTTTTATTAATTTGGTCAAACCTGCAGAGATTTAATGTTATGAGCATCAACAACTTGTGGATGTCAGAAATAAAATGATTGGACATACTACAGACAACCATAATGAAATGATAAATACAGTACAATATTACCAATGGAGATAACTAAAGTTCATTACCTCCTTGCTAATTTTTAAGTAACTGTTTCAATAACTTTAAAGAAACCAATAATGGAAAAACCTAAGTAGTTTTAAACATTAAAATCAAGGCAATCATACATTTCGAGTTTCACAAAAAGGCAGAAACACTTTTTAAAAACAGTTATGTGATGATAAGAAAGAATCAGGAGCTTCTGATACAAGAAAAATAATATAATTTTTTCATCTCAAGCAACAAATTCTTCTTTACTCCTTTAACACACAATATCTTACAAACTCAGTATCTACAAGTTCTAGCTGAATTGAAATATTTTTTAACAATAAATTTTTACATCTTTCTAATCATAAAAAATTGCCAGCAAGCATTAGCAGTTCCTCTGTATTGTTTCAATGAAGACACTGAAAGATTTTTTTAACCAACTGAAAAATGCAACTTTCTCAATAGTTGTTGGTTCCTTGCATTACAATGACTAACAGTTCTTTTCTCTGACCAAATAAATGAACTTACTTTATAAACAATTATTTTTCTAACTAAAGATAGATTCTGTTGCTTTCTCCAGATCCCAGTTGTAAGAGGACAAGGCCACTCGAGCTCTATGCTGAAAAGGGAAAAACTAATGTTCAGAAACAAAAACATATAAAAAAACCTTAAAACACTTCCCAACTTCCTGCTGGCAGTTTTCACAAGTGTTCTTAAATGGTAAATTCGTTATAGTAACAGATATTAAAATATCAAAAATATTTTTAGGAGTAATACACTTTTGAATACCAGTATAAATATTCCTTTGTAAAGTATTATGCAGTACATGTCTTAGGTAACTAACAAAAACTATACTTTTACTACATTAGTTTTGCCTATCATATAACTGCTCTCCATCAGATGCTATTATGCTGGTAACTAATGAGCTTGAAGATCAAATAGATTTGGTTTGTTTTAAATTTTGTGCAAAGCTACACGATGTCTATCTGCACTAGCCGTCCCTAATTTAGCAGTGAGAGACTAGAGGGAAGGCAGCTAGTCATCACCAGCTCTTAGGCTACTCTTTTATCAATTAATAGTGAGATTGACTGTCACATTATAATGCCCCCACGGCTGAAAAAGCAAGCATTTTTGGTGGGTCAGGGATTCGAACTCACGACCCTCAAGCATCTTGCCTGGCCCATCAAAGAGAATTCAATTATTTAAACATGCCATAATTCACCTTTTCACAGGTGTTATTTCATTTTATATGTTGTAAAAGTTGGCTACTTTTAACATGTATAATTTAATATCAATATCTATCTTATTTACTTTTATATAAGCCTTTAGATGACTGTATCTAATAAACACAAGGAAAACCAAAACCATAAGGTGATTAGTAATCATAAATACTTTTGCTTTCTTAGGAATGACCATCAAATGTTTTTAAAACATATAATTAGAACATATATCACTTTCATCTTGTGCAGTAACCATTGCTGGTTCATCTAATATAATGTTAATTTTTCTTTCAGATATTTTAAATGTTATAGATTATCAATAAATGATTTTGGACTACATGCAATCAACCAACAAACAGAAATTTTAAACACGTATGCAATGAATTCACTTGTCAGAGTTTAATTTCTTAATCTAAACCTGAAACAAAAATAACACAAAACTAAATTAATCAATGTTTTGAAATAATCAAAAATTTAGTATTCTGGAAAAACAGAAAGATTTTGCACAAATTGCACACATATTTGTATATACACACACACAAAATTAAAATGCACTTTATTGTGATAAACACTATGTATTTACTTGTTTGCAACAATATACAATACCAACACTGTATGCATTTACCATAAAAAATGTAAATGTTTCTTACCTCATCCACTCCGATGTCAACCAACCTCTTAATTTTGGCATCAAACTCGGGATAACTTTTAGGTGCTATAGCAAATAATAAGGTTTATTTATCTCTATTGCACAACATCATATAGCACAAAGTATTACTATTACAAAAATTATATACATAAATATATACATATGCACACACACAGACATACATACATACAAATGATTTGTTGTAAATTAATGTAACAGGAGTGTACATATATATATATATTATGTAAACACACTATTGGAAATAATTAAGGAAATGAGCATGTGATACAAATATAGGATTCACAAAATGAATAACTGCAACTAAATAGTCAACTTATAATTAATACAATACATTATTAGGGAAAATACAAAGGAAAATAAATTTGTTGAATGATGCACTAGTATTATGTATTTGCTTTAAACAGAACTGTACATGTTATTTCATGCTACAATAATTTTATCAACAAATAATAAAAAAAAATTTGCAAAAATTAGTAGGGATGGCAATGCCAAAAAAAGTAAAGAAACAAAGTAGAGATGAATACAAAAATTACTACAAAAGTAGCCAAATCTTTCCAAGAATGATTTTTATCTACAACTAAATGTTGAATTCCTGTCAGTTGCATGAATTTGGGTTTAATAAAAAGCATTTAAACTCAATATTGCTATATAGTCTTATAGTGGCTATTAACCATAAGCTTGCAAGATTGACTCAGTAATTACTGGCTATTATGTAGGGATTTTTGTATCTCCTTGATACCTTGAATATTGATTTAGATATAATACAATAATTTTATCAACAAGTAATAAAAAAAAAATTTGCAAAAATTAAATATGGTGTAGGGATGGCAATGCCAAAAAAAGTAGAGAAACAAAGTAGAGATGAATACAAAAATTACTACAAAAGTAGCCAAATCTTTACAAGAATGATTTTTATCTACAACTAAATGTTGAATTCCTGTCAGTTGCATGAATGTGGGTTTAATAAAAGCATTTAAACTCAGTATTGCTATATAGTCTTATAGTGGCTATTAACCATAAGCTTGCAAGATTGACTCAGTAATTACTGGCTATTATGTAGGGATTTTTGTATCTTTTTGATACCTTGAATATTGATTTAGATTATTCTTTCTTTCTTTATTTTTACTAATATTGTTTTGGTATATATCATGTTTGTGCAATGAAAAGTCACAAATGGTTGTTATACAATAACAATTTGTACAGCTATATGGCGACCAGAAATGAAAGTTATTTATGAAACATGGAAATAATATATG